CCCCCCCCCTTTTTGACAGATCGATCCATCGAATGAAAACGACAGCGAGACAAGAGACACGCGTCGATATCGTTGCTTTAAAATCTTTGCAAACAAATCTGTCGTTTAGAGAGGAATTGCTGAAAAGAGAAAACGTTCTCACAATTTTTCTACTTTAAACAGCTTAGGTCTCGGATCGATCGAGAATCATTTCGCAAAGTAAAATTAAACTCGCCGTTACATCAAATAAAAACAAACAAACCCGACAGGGGTCTGAATTTGATTTCTAAAACGTTCGAACGTTCAGGTATTCGAATCACACTGATAAAAAGCGATAAAAAAAAAAAAAACAAAAGAAAAAAAGAATGACTTCTTCGAAATCGATCCGTACACGCGAGTAATTTCAAATCAGAGATGAAGCAGCAATAGCGGACAACGTGAAAGAATCAAATAGATCGGAAGAAACTAGAGATCTCAACGAATGATGAGAAATGTCAGCTTCGTTGATCCTCTTGCACGTAATTTATCTTACATACGGATTTTTTCACGCGTGAGGGTAACGCGTGTGATCGTGGCGCGTATCAGCGTAAGCGCGTGCGAAATCGAATAATAATATTCAGAGATGACGATGAAGTAAAATATGGCGGCGAAAGCGGACGGGCTGCTCATCGCGTGACCCTGTTGTTTCCCCTCTCTGGCTGCTTGTCTGTCTCACCCGGTGGAACTCTTCATCTGCTGTTCTGTTCTGTTCTGTGAACGTCGACGACGAAAGGTGGTGTAGACTATCGACGAGAAACTCGCGAATCTCGGTTTTCGTCGATTCTCCGTCGTGTCAGAGACAGACACTTTTGCCTCTAATTGACAACGGATACACGCGCACAATTCCGCGTCCCGACGATACGGTATATCAGTCGGTTTCACTGCTTGAGTAGCTGATCCAGTGGTCGACGGATAGACCGATCGCCGTCACAGAGACACAAACGCAGACGCATCTCTCACTGGAACCGAGACGAGACGAGACGAGACGAGACGAGACAGGTAGTAGCTGTTTATGAACCGAGCACGCCTCTGCCTAGCTTCTTTCCACTTTTCTGTGCAACCTCACGACGAGAGATGGAAACCATCCAGGCTTGACCGTTTGTCCGATTGTTTCCTCAAATGGGCGAGTCGTCGTCTGGTAGCCCTTCTTCGGCTTTCGCCTTGCCATCCTCAGAACTGCAAACCGCGCCGTAAATGTTCAAACACCTGCTCCACGTATTCCAACCCGTTCATGTAGTCCCGAAAGATCAGCCAATCGCGCAAATTCCGGTCCGTCTCCGACGATGACACGCGGAATTCCGACTTCATGATGTCGCGCGTCACGTCTGGCCGTGACAATAACTGCCGTTCCACTAGTGCCACTTGCAGCTCGCACAGAACCTGCAAACACAAGTTTCCCAAAAATTACCCAACTCTGTCCCTCTGGCCTCTGTCGGACCTTTTTCACCCGCCAACAGCGTGAATTTCTTTTACACTTCTTTAGACCCGTACCAGGCTTCAAATGTTGGCACAAGACTCAAGAAATCGAAATCAGGGAAATGAAACGGAACCTTTTTCTCTTTCTTTTTTTTCTTTTCACTCGTTTTTTTTTTTTTTTTTTTTTTTTTTTTCAATCTCGCGCAAGATTGGCTCGAAACTCGTAAAAGCAAATTTTGCTCGTTTCTTCGCCGGAAAAGATCGATTTGACGTGATTTGACGTCGCGGTTGGAGAAAGGGGAGACACTCACCGCTCGCAGTTTATATTCGGTGTCCTTAAACTGATTGCGAAACTCAAGCTGAAGATCATCTTGATCCCAGACTATCTGCTCGAGACCCACTGCATACTTTTGCATGTATTCATACGCATTGATAAGAGCCGTATCAAGCTGTGAGAGCAAAAAAAGATCGTGCTGTTCATACAATTTTTCACTCGATCGACGTGAAAGTAAAAGTGAATCTGTAACGTAAGCTGAAGAGAAGAGATCTGCCCTCTGTACTACGTACTTCTAATCTGTTTAGGTACTCTTGATCCAGCTGTTTTCCGAGTTCCTTGGGGATTTCGTTTGGCCCGGGGAGCCAATCGTAGTGGTTGTCTTTAAACGTCGAACGCAAATCGGCAAAATCGATGTTGAACGTTTGTCTAGCCTGCAAAATCACAAAGAGATTGTACGTGCGATTAAAAAATGACACCACTTACTTGAAATGATCTTCAAATTGTAAGAGAATGTTACGCTCGAAAAAAATTGAAAGAATCGGACGTGAAGCGTGACGATTACTTACTTTAGAGGATAAAGGTAAAAACATTCTTTCAACGGGAGGATTAATTTTCCAAGTAGCTACTCTGACTAGAAATGTCAGCCATGTTACAGGTAACGTGTAACGATTAAATTCGAAATCGTCGTCTTTCCCCGAGTACTTACTCGACAAAAAAAATGGAAAAAGTCTCGACTATTTCTACTATAATTCTACGGAGGATAATTCCGTGTCTGAGACTTTTCATTCCGTTTATAAAGCGGTGATACTAGATGATGGTAACTATCTCGTCCCCGTTATTTCCACGTGTTTTCGTAGCTGCCAAAAAATACAAGCGTCCTCGCGATGAAATAGCACGCGACGAATGACATTAAACTTAAGCTGTGGCGTAGTCACACACGATTTAACTCGCTTGCACGGAGAGCCAATAATTTATCGGAGGAGGATATTTAAAGGAAGGAAGGTAGAATCAAGGAGGAAAGGAGGAAAAGAGGAGGCCGCAAGGAAAGCACAAAGTAACAAAAGGAGGCCGTTAACGACCGAAGGCGTACATTTTCTCCCGTGTTAACTGTTATACGCGACGTGCAAACAGCCTGTATTCAGGCGTGCACGTCAAAAGTAGCAATGATCGGCCATGAAATCGGCTAAATGTCTTTATTTTGAAAGCGAGATCACGAGGCGGATGATAGCGAGGCGGACGGCGGATATCGTTATCCATATATATGCAAAACGCTTGGCAGTGCACCTTCATTATAGGAGCAGTATAGTTCAATAACAGGTTGGCGAGTTTAGTCAGCGATTAGCGACAGGGAAGAGCGCCTGGTCGACGATAATGACGATCAACCTCCCGACATCCCTCCCGATTCCTGGTACGATCGTTGCGTCGAACGTGGAGACAAGCCACGCTGACGGATGAGTAAGCCGCAGCAGGATGGCGAATCCGGCGCGGAGCACGCGTCCGCCTCGAGCTCTCTACCGACTTTTCGGGAAGACCGAAAGATACATCGTTACCGAGAAATTACCTGGAAGCTCAGGCGCCAGGCTAGCCTCGGTAATTGCGTTATCCGAGCGTAGGTCGCGTCGTTGTGAATCACGAACCACCCGAACCACCCGAACCACGCTATGTGTTTCGAACAGCCGTAGGTACGTACGTCGCACAGCAGTGCAGATATTGCATATTGCAGGCATGGAAAGCCTGACGTATAACGAGCTGAAACGAAGGGAGATGCCCTCGCGCGCACAATCGCGTGTCACGACTTCGGCATGTTGCTCCATTATTAGGCTACGTTCCGCGAAACTTTTGATTCCGCCGCGTATAATCTCTCTACCCTACAGAGCGCAGCTCTGGCTATGAAAGATGGCCGTCTAATGGCCATCTAACGCGATCGCAAGGTCGCGTCGGCACGGTACGCGTCCAAACGCCATCTCGCTGTTCTTCGCTCTCCCCCTCGATCACAACCAGTCGTCAATCTGCGCGCGTCAGCAACTCGAAAGCAACTGCGATAGAAAGGTAATCCGATATTTCGATCGATGCTGTGCAACAACGTCGAACACAATCGTTCGTATCGACTCGTATTCTCGCGAACTTGTGTACGCGCGAGACTCTGCAACGCGGAGGATGGAATTTTCTGGAGAAAAGAACTTTCGAAACTTCCTTGGACGTTCCGATACGATCAATTACTCACCTATCGATCTATCCGATCATGCTTCGTGTCTTGTCTCAATGTTCAAAATGGAATATATATATTCGAGAAATTGAAAATTATTTACAAAACGTGACAACTTGATGGTGACGAGTCGATCGAAAGCTTCGAGACTCTGTTGTGTCATTGACACGTTGCATCGCGGTAAATAATCAAGTTTACCGATCGATCGCGCGATCGCATTATATAATAGATGCTTTCACGTTGAAACTATATTAAATTTTAAATATATGTGTGTCAATCGATCTGTCTCGGGCTAACGTAAGCACCAACTATATACATATCTGGTCGAACGTGTCTTCGACCCCGCATCTCGGGCCAGCTGGCCCGCGCAAAGATAACACAGTTATCCAGGCTCTTATCTGGCCCAGGAATGGAAATAATCATCACGCGATACTACTCTCGCCACTTGCAGGCCGCGATAATACTCTGACAAGCAAACAATTAGAGAACTATGCGGCAACCTGAGAATTGTCGCGACCGTCGCGAATAATTTCAGAAATTCACTCTCGCGATCTCAGTTGGCGAATATTTTCCGCCGTGATATACTTTCTCCGTGACACGGGAACGATTTTCAGGTCTCAAGATTTTACTAATTACACACACACACCTTCCGACGTATAGATTGATTTAAAGAAAAATTACCAAAAAAGAATTCGGATAGAAGGAAACGAACCAGTCGGTCAGTTGAATTCTCTAGTACATACAGCAGTACAGTGTGAAACAGTAATCGAAAGGAGTCGCCTTCTCCACGCGTATCTTTCAAAAAGTAGAGACAATTTGTATTGGTAAACGTTAAACACGATTATTAAAACCGTGCGGTCCGATTGATTGCGAACACACGAGCTGTTACTATCACGAAGCGTGTATAACATGGACCGGTCGAGAGTCCGAGACATCCCGCAGGAGCCCGAGGAACCCGAGGAACCCTCGAACACGCGGACTGGCTTCATGAGCTTCACAGCCATCCTCCAATGGCCAATCAAATAATTTTACGATTTAATTGTTTTACGCGAACGGTTAAAACGTATCCTTGCACGTTCCTTACCGAACTGATCTCACGCGGAATCGAAGCAAGTTCGCGAACCAACTACTCGAATTCCATCTCCAACGTTTCTCACGCTTGTTTCTCCCGATGATGGCAGCCCTCGTTAGTTGACCACCGCTCTCACGTTTCAATGGCTCTGGGATTCTTTGTACCACCTTTCGATAACCCTGCGTGTTTAGTAAGCTACTGCGTGGGCGAAAACGTTTATCTATTTACTCGCAAGTTTCCTCGCAGAGATTCGTTCGGAAGCGCGGAAATAAACTCATGAACGATGGCAGCCGCGTGCTTCGATCGATTTTTCGAAAGCGAACGCGATCTCGCGAGTATCGGCAGGTGTCAGGTGAAACTCGTGGATTTCTCGTATCGTCGGTGGCGAGAAGTTTTAGCGAGAGAGCGAATGGGAATGAGAAGAAACGGCGAAGAATAAAAGGAATTGTCGCAAAGAACGGCACTGGGCGGCGAGCAAATCTGAGACGCGGGTCTTTTGTGCCTCGTAAAAGTCTCCTCGGCCACACCGGGGCACGAATAATCGTAAAACCGGGCTGAAAACTGACAGGAAGTAGGCTGGCAAGAGAATAGGTATGGTCTCTCCGCGGTATGGACTGCCGAGGACCCGTCAAAATCAATTAGCCTCTCAGTCTTTCTTCTAGCGCGGCTTCACCGCTCCACCGCTTATTAGAAGTTATAAAATTTCGGTGCGACGGCCTCGAACCGATCGAATGGCTCGCTCTGCGCTCTCGCGACTCACAGCCAGCAGACACACAGACAAAGAAGCCAACTCTTACACCGCGCCGCGCCGATGAAAATCTTTTCAGTTTCAAACTTTCCCGCTCGATCGATCCCTCCTTCCATCACTATCTCTTTCTCGTTTTGTCACCACCTTTCGTTAATCTGTCGATAATCACGAGAATGAAAATTACTTTCGAGCAAAAGTATGAAATTCGTAGTTCGTGCTGCGACCGATCTTTTTCGGAAGCGAGATTTTCGAGATTCTCGAAAACGAAAAGATCGACGAGATTTGAAAAACATGTCAGCGTTGAAGGGAACGGTACGCGCCAATCGGATCGACAACACACCCGGCGAACCGAGTGGCAGAAAATACGTGTCGCAGCGCGTACTGAATGTATCGAGGTGAGTAAATGCACTGGCGGGTCTTGTATATCCGGTCTGCGGGCTTTAGTATGCAGGCAGAGTGCCGGCGTGGTGTATAGATGCCTCATCCTTGGCGGGGAGGGGGCAGCTTCCGATTCTGATTTATTGGAATCCTCCGCTTCCGATATTTTATCCGATTCCTTCACGT